CCTAAAGCACGATGATTTTAGTAAGATGCGTTCAACAAAGTAATTTATATTATTTTTTTTTTCTCAGAGTAAATTACGGTCAGCCCCCTAAGGCAAGTCGCAAGATCAAGTTACGAAAAAACATCCATCTTGTTTGGGTAATTACAACCACCTCCCTCAACTATATATTATCTTACGAAAACTCCCCCTCCTTCAATAGGTAAATTTGACACCGTAAGTATAAGATAATACATAGTTGAAGGAAGTAGTTATAATCACCCAAACAAAATGAGTTTTTTCGTAATTTAATCTTACCTCAGTGATCTGACCGTAATTTACCCTTTTTTACCCAAATGCCGACTTCGAATGTGCATAGATGCATTTGAATTTACATGCAAACCAAATAGTAATATAAAATTTACATATATAGTGTGTTTTCTATTATTTTTTTTTATTTTTTTTTTACTGGAAAATGCGAATTGGAAAATATTTGGGGCAACTAACACACGCATTATAGTCATAATTAACCACAGATATATTTAATTTTGCAGTTATACACCAAATCAAATGGTTGAAATTGGTCTTCAAAATATTAAAGTATGACAAAGGTATTATTTAAAAGAAGATATAATAATAAATAAAATCAATAAATGATGATCACAGGAGTTGCACGAGGTATTTGGTCAATGATACTCTTTTTGTGGGTAGTTTTGCATTAACTATGCCTCTAACTATATCATAACTCACATAATTATGACAAACACAAAGTTTTGCATGGTTACCCTAAGATTTTATTACACTTAAACATCCGTATATAAATTAATACAGTTGAGATCAATAAAAAATTATTAATTTAGTAAAATATTTAATCGAACTAATAATTTAGTACACTTTTATCAAGTTGGGATCGAAAGAAATTTTTATTTGAGCAAAATTATTAATTTATCGATGTTCAACTGTAGTACTTCGTGAAAAATCTTTGATTTTATTTCGAGTACAAAGGCAAAGGCTAACACCATGAAACTTTGTGTATTAAGGAAAATTTGCACCAAATTTGATCTTATATATGCTATGTTTTATTATATGAATTTTCCACATGTTTTTTTTTTTCTGCACAAAGTCCTCTTTCATTTAGCCCGTTATATATGCGCGTGTATTTCGCACAAAATATGCAAGTAGTCTATAAGATGCTACACCTGATGTAACACAACTGGTGGTTCAAAACTGTAGATCTATATAAATAACTATCTACTAAGTGCACACACACGAGTGTGTGTTGTAAAGAATTTTAAATTATGAATAAATTATCTTTGCATAAATCCTTCTGGTTTCGGAGAAAACTTACACCAAATTCCCCTCAATTTCAATTATTAACGAAAAACTAAAAAATCTAAAAACCAGTAACCCGAACCCGAAATGCGAAAATCCAAAACCCAATTGTGCAATTTTTTTCCTTAACACATGACATTATTATATTATATACTATGTTGTTTACCTAAGAAATGCTTATGTAAAAAAAATTCTTATTTTTTATTTTTAAAAAATGGAAATAATATAAAAACAAAAGAAAATTGCAAAGTGTAAGAAGAAAGGAAAGATAAGCAACATGTTTTGCCTCTCCAAACTTGGTATGTAGTTCACATAAAGTTTATTAGTATGATTCACTATATATCACCTTTGGTTGAATTCCCTTTTTTTAATACACACTAAATTACAGCCAGCCTTGAGATAAGGTATAATTACGAAAAAATCCTTCATATTTAAATAATTACAACCACCCCTAAATTATGTATCTTCTTATCAAAAAACTCTTTATCGGATAAGTAAATTTATTACTATGAAGACGGACGCGTAAGAAAATATATAGTTAAGAGAGATGATTGTAATTACTCATACAAGAAAGATAGGATTTTTTTTCATAATTTAAACTAAAAATTTGCCCACTAAAAAAATGCATACATATTTGCTAAATTAAATTTCAAACCTCATTTCTTTTCAAGAATTTAACTGTGGGACTCTCTCTCTCTCTCTAACTTTATCTCTCACACACACACTGCTCTCACTGTGTGCTTCTCCACTCTCTTCTGACACACACACACACACACACTGGTTGCTCTGTATGTGGCGTAAACTTGATGCCTGGTAGTAGTGCAAGCAAAGCAACCACCCCAATTTAGTTTTTCCCACTCTTATTACATTTTTATTATTTCCTTGTATAAAGTATACTGTATAAAGTAAAATAACACTCTCTCTCTCTCTATCTCTCTCTCTCTCTCTC